ACCGATTGCATTATTCGAAGTTACACTACTGTGATACATGGGGATCAATTTTAAGAAAGGAAAATTGGCAGGGATGATGGAAGTCTACTTTATTTAGTAACCACCACAGTAGGAGTGAAAGAATGTCTTTGTTGCGGATAGAAGCAACCAAAACTGCGAAAAACCACTTAGAAAATCGATGGATAAAATAAGTAACGTCGACAAAAAGTTAAAAATAATAATAATAATAATATTAAAAATTTTACAAATTAATTAAGAAAAGAATCTTCGGGATCATAAAGAAGAAGAAGAAAAAAAAATGAAAACTTAATTCGTATACGTATTAATAAACGTACTGGATTTTTATTATCTTTAATAATTATAATTGAAATTTTATAAATTTAAATTTTCCTTACAAAAAATTAGTAACGAATAAAGTTACTTTTGAATAGTCTAATAAAATTTTATTGCTTTACCTTATTATTATTATTATTTTTTAATATTTTTATTGCGTTACACGAATAAAGTTTTGGCATTATTTCAACTTATTTTAATTTTAAAATTTTCTAATTTGAATTTTGATAATTAAGCCATCACAAATTAAACTAGTAGAAGACAAACATACCTAATCCAGTCCAAACTAATTTAACACTTTAATCTTTCAATCTTACAACTTTACAAGATTAAAGGAAAATTGTTAATGAATGTAAAAAATATTTAAAAAAAAAACAGAAAGAAATGTAAGCAAAACAATGTGCTTTTTTACTGTATTGAATCTGATTGTTGTAGGTATTATTTGCAGCACTTAAGTGACAACTGATGAGGGATGATAACCCCAATTGCATACTGTCAAAGAATGAAAGAAGTGTAGTAGATTGTTGTATGAATAAACGGTTTGCAAGTCTTGCGTTACTAATTAAAGTATAGAATATTTCCATTAACACATCACTACACAAAAACAGTAAAAGTATAACGCAATTGTAAAAAAAAAATTAAATTTTTTTTTAATCCAGTAATATATATTAAAAGAGAGGAAATTTTCCAAATGATTAAATATTAATATATTTAATTTAATAATAAAATAAAATATAACTTTATTTATAAAATACATATAGGCCTATACAATCTTTCAATTTTTATACTTAAAATTTTTGAAGTAAAAGAAATAAAAATATATATATATAAAATACAATTTCTGAAAGAAAATAAGTGATACAATCAATTCAGTTTCTTATGGAAGAAGAAAAATAAAAAAAATTTTTTTATTAATTTTATTTTTTCAACATTTTTTGAACAATACAGGAAAATAGAAATGCTATCTTACATTTTCTCAAACTGTACATTACGAGCTTTCTAATACTCCCATTAAGGAATTCTGTATAGAAAACTCTCCAGCACGTTTCTTGGTGTGTTGCTACTTTGGACTAGCAGAGCAATTCGATTTCAAGATCTGGAAGAGGTAAATAGCGATATCGTTTAAAGAACTACTCAGGAAAGTTTATTTCTCAAGGGAATAATTATGGCAAACTTTTTTTTTCCTTTTTTTTCCTTTTACCTCGCTTAAATGATTGCTCTTGTAGATACCTTAGAGCCAATACTGTAGTCTAATGTTTGATCAAAGTGTGGTTCGAATTCACTTCAGTCTCTTCTGTGTACAATAATGGCATCTACTGGGAGTATTACGCACAATTGTTATTTGGCATCCAGTTTAGAAAGTTGGATTAAGTTATTAACGATTTTCTAAATTGTACTAGTTTTGTTGGTACTTTATATTGTTGTCTTTGTTTACATTTTACTTCTTTCTTTCTATAGTTTCCTGCATAATATCTTTAATTAAGCAAAACTTCTTTTGCTAAGAATATATTAAAATCTACGACAAGAAATTAAAATAATAATAAAAAACTTTTAAAGAATTAACTATATAAAATTATTTTTAATTTAATCGATTTGGAGAGTTGGAAGAGTAAAGAAATATATCCTGATGTTGATAGTTAAATTAAACATTTTTTTTATCATTCATTTTAAAAGATAAAAATTTATTATTAGATATAAAATTTAAAAAATTTAAATTATTATTATTACTAAAATAATGTCTGAAATTTTTATGAAGTTTTAGAAAATTTATACAATTTGTTCTTTAACTGATACAAATAAATGTAGAAAGTATTCACATGAGAATATTTTAATACGTAAACCAAGTTATTATATTTTAGTATATATATTTTTTTGTACTTATTTTTTGTAATTTAAAATATTCTTTAAGATAAAAACTACATGCAAAATCACAAATTATTAAAAATCTTTAATATTACGTATGCAAAAGAGTTGCGAATTTACATAAATTTATTTAATGTTATGTTGTAATCATGATAATTTTTTAAAGAAATTTTGAAAAAAAAAAAATGTATATTTGTAGTCAACATTATCAGAAAAGCAATTGTCTGTTTTTTTATGACTTAAAAAGAAAGTTTAAAAATAAAAAAAAATTAAAAAAAAATTCATGTATAACATTAAAACAGAAACTATTGATAAAGAGTAAAAGAAAATGAAGAAGAAGAAGAAGAAGGAAAAAAAATTATATAAGAAACGTTTCTTTTGTTAGTAAATTACAGTATTTTTACAACCAAAGTCTTCGATAGTTGCAGAAGAATCCATAAAACTTAATTACATGTAGACAATGAATGGGGTTTTACAAATGAAAAAATAAGCAGTCAAGTTACTTAAGCTGTAAGATGATTTTTTGAATAAAAACCGATTGCATTATTCGAAGTTACACTACTGTGATACATGGGGATCAATTTTAAGAAAGGAAAATTGGCAGGGATGATGGAAGTCTACTTTATTTAGTAACCACCACAGTAGGAGTGAAAGAATGTCTTTGTTGCGGATAGAAGCAACCAAAACTGCGAAAAACCACTTAGAAAATCGATGGATAAAATAAGTAACGTCGACAAAAAGTTAAAAATAATAATAATAATAATATTAAAAATTTTACAAATTAATTAAGAAAAGAATCTTCGGGATCATAAAGAAGAAGAAGAAAAAAAAATGAAAACTTAATTCGTATACGTATTAATAAACGTACTGGATTTTTATTATCTTTAATAATTATAATTGAAATTTTATAAATTTAAATTTTCCTTACAAAAAATTAGTAACGAATAAAGTTACTTTTGAATAGTCTAATAAAATTTTATTGCTTTACCTTATTATTATTATTATTTTTTAATATTTTTATTGCGTTACACGAATAAAGTTTTGGCATTATTTCAACTTATTTTAATTTTAAAATTTTCTAATTTGAATTTTGATAATTAAGCCATCACAAATTAAACTAGTAGAAGACAAACATACCTAATCCAGTCCAAACTAATTTAACTTCTATGTAAACTAATACTACTAAACATAATATATTATCGTGTATAAAGGGAATCTTTGCTCAGTTTCGCCTTTGCTTCTCACTTTATATTTTGAAATATTATTAATAATATTTAATAATTTTGTTTAAAACAATTTAAAAATTAGTAAATTAATTTATAAAATAAATATATTTTAAAATATTATTAATTTAAAAGCCACCGAATCTCCGAAATATTTACTGAACGTAACGTTCTCATCTACTTACGTTTTCATCTGTTTTATATGGGATAATGTTATCTCGTTCTATTTAATTTTACTTAATTTAACCCAAAACTAATTCAAATTTATCTACTTCTCGAGTCACATTAAGATAGAAGATTATCTAATGTTGTGTATCGGCTAGAACTTTACATTCGTTTTGCATTTAAGGAAAATGGTTCGGCTTCCAGGCAAAGCACATCATACCTTCTCAATTATGAATTAAGCTATATGATTTAAAAGCTAGAATTTATGTTTCATATCTTGTTTATTTACTCATAAATCATTTAATTTATTTCAAGAATTTATTGAAAAATGAATACTGCAATGCCTAATCTTATATATATATATATAAATACAATTATATTTCTATCTATCTAATCCTACCTGAAACACTATTATCTCAGGTAGGATTAGATAGATATTATTATCCTAGTCTATCTAACTTTAACATAATGCTACTTCAGTTATCTTCAGCTAAGCTATCTGAGCTAAATGTTACCTCAGGCTATCTAATCTTACATAATCTCACACAACCTCACCTTAGATTTATTTGATTATCTAACAAAATGACATTTTACGATTCGTACTCCTATCCATATAATTTTACATGACAATTTATCTAAATCTTGCTTAAAATTACTTCTACATATCAAAATTTCGGGTGTGTGTTACCATATCTAGTATAGATACGCTAGAATATCTTAGACGTCAGCATGGTAATCTTACTACAGTTTAACACGTTACTAAACTAGTCTACCCAGTTCTCTAATCTTTCAGATAGACCGTCAGTTTGTCTATCTAACTTTATATAATTCTATTTAATTCTAGTTAATCTAATCTATCAAAAATTAGACGCCATCTCGCATAATGTAACATACAATATTACTCCATCCCATTTCTGTAACTCACCATAATCGCAACAAACTTAAATCATGATATAAACATATCATATATAATAATTACGATTAAAACAAATAAGCATAATTTAGAAATTTACATCTAATTTTAATAAATCTTAAAATAAATTTCCTCAAAAGTTTCTTCTCAGTTAAAACTTCAACCCACTTAAACGAGTTTTATATTTAAAAGATAATTATAAAATGAAGTGGGTGCAGTTTATGAAGATTTATAAGACTTTCAGCAAGCTCACTTAGTTTCTATTAAACTCAGTGAGTGACTATTAAATGCCACAAATTATACTTTTCTGCTAAAGGCTACAGCGACAATGATGGAAGGGGAACATTGATTCGTAGTCAGACGTAAACACATTACTATGTCTAGCAAAGAGAGCGGTTAATTTGCTGGAGAGGCTAATGTTCTCATTCTATAGAGTCGTATTAAGAAGCGAGAAAATGATAGACGTCAAAATTGTTTGCTAACCAACGTACTGTCATTTTCAGGTGTCATGGATCAGAAGAAGAGATTTCCATGTGTTAACAGTTGGACTGGTTACATATACATCAGATGATCGCTTCCAGGCTGTTCATATGGAACGTTCAGACGATTGGATTCTAAAGCTGCAGTTGGCACAGTTATCGGATGCTGGTCTATACGAATGTCAAGTGAACACGCATCCTCTCATTAGTTTGTTTGTGTTTCTCACTGTTGTAGGTAAGTTAATCTTATTACTTCTATAAATTTGATTCAATTCAAACTTATAATGTGATCTTAGAAAGCTAATTTAATTTGTTGCCGTTTAAATTAATATCAATTATAAGTTCTTAGCCNTGATTGTTATTCAAATATTTAGAATATGCTAATTCAGATAAACTATCTTGTTTTCTGTAAATGTTATAAAATTCTCATTATGTTCTATAACTAACTAACATTATGGTGAAATAAAACATTTCCTGTAAAATTTTGTAATATTTTAAAGAAATTGTTCAAGAATCAGTATATTCTTTAATACATGACAAGAATAAAAATTCCTGTCATCATCAATCAATTTACTATACTTACGAAGCCACTCCTCTGGAATTCGTATCTCAAAGACGTGAACTGTTTTAAACCAAACGATCCTCCTATTACCAGTATCTGAAATTCAATATAACAACATTTAAAACCCTAATAAATTAATACAAAATATGCATACAATTAACAATGTTATACATAACAGGCAGAATTTGTTGCAATTACAAATCAAATAACTTACTTATTTTGATGAGTTAAGCCTAAAAAAGAAACTTTTGTTTAAACATTTTCATCTTATAATAAATTTTCTTAGGAAACGTTACAATCTAATTTCTTGTGTTTTGTCAAACCAATGCAACATTTATTTAAGTCTTCATTCAATAATTCACTGAATGAATGAATGGCAAACTTAAGTTTTTCTAAGTTTGCTTCTTGGTCAACAGATTTAACACAATAAGCTATTCAGGTTTGGTTAATTGAAAGATCATTGAAGCACTTTCAATGAGAAAAAAGGGTAAGCTGTCAATTTTTAAGTAAAAAAAAAAACATAATAATAATTTTTCAATTTTTGTTTCAACTCGTTTCATTGATTTTCCTATTGAAACTAACGTTGCATCACTCTCAATTGATCCTCTTTTACTAATCCTGCAATCAATTCCTTCAGTCTCCAAACCTGTCTGTATCGATTGCTATTTTCTATAGTACAGTTCTGGACACTTTCCAAGCTTCGGACCTACTCTAATGTGCATAAATGCACTCCAAATCACAACGTTTACTATCCATTTACATTCTCTTCCCTCTATTTTAATTCTCTGTTAAAGAAAAAAAAATTAAAAAACAAAAAAAACACCCTTCAAACTATGTGTTGTCTTGTCAAATAAAGTGTCGGTAATTTATTTTTTTTAATGATCTATCTTTTAAAGGAAATTACAATTAAAATAATTTTGTTATTTTAACAATTTAAGCCATTGATAGATCTGTTTTAAACGTTTTATTTTTAATTCTTGATAAATTAAACTTTATTAACTATTCTTCTATAAATTAATAAGATGCTTATTTTTAATACATTTGTATATATATAAATGTTAGATAAGTTAATTATATTTTAATAAAGCCAACAGAAGTGCAATATGGTAGAAGAAATTCTTAATCCCTTCTTCTACAGTAATCAGATAAGAAAATTATTGTATAGAATTTTTATATAGCCTATATATTTTATGAAGACGTTATATTTTCTTATTTGTTAAAGGTTTCTTTTTCTTCTCATTACTAGATTACTAACTTTCCCTAAAGGTTATAGAAAACTTATTGTTTTGTCAGTATCTACAGTAAATTAATACATAATGTTTACTATATTGAACTAGTTCTTTAATTTGTTTTCGTACCTCAAGGGAAAATGGTATTTCTCTCTTTCTATCTTTGATAATTATATAGTTTTCTTCCTGTTTTTTTTTCTTTTTTTGTATACAGTTCCTAAAGCTTCTATCCGCGAATCACCAGATCTGTACGTCAAAACAGGTAGTTCTATCAACTTGACTTGTCTGATAAACCAAAGTCCAGAACCTCCTGCTTTCGTCTTTTGGTATCACAACGACAGAATGATTAACTATGACTCTACACGGGGGGAGATTAACCTACAAAAGGCAGGAGAAGATACAGCTATAAGTCGTCTATATATCACCAATGCTCAACCTATTGACTCAGGAAACTATACCTGTGGTCCTTCGAATGCTGATGCTACGAGCATCAGTGTACATGTTCTCAATGGTACTAATTTTATATATATTTATATTTTTTTCACTTTTCTTAATTCATAAGTACTAATAAATATATATATATATATTCTCTAACTTACAGTAAATTATTTAATAAATAAAATCTACTATTTTTTTAATCTTTAAGAACTTCTCCTAATCGCTTAACTAAAAAGCTTTTTAATTGGTTAAAAATCATAAAAAATCATCATCATTTATAATTTTATTAGCTCGAAAATTATGCTTATTTAACACAAACTGAAACACTCCTTCGTTAATGATCGTCTTTACGTTTAAATCACACAAATTCGAATGGTAGAAATTATCAGATTTATCTGAATATCGTTTAATTTAATCATAAAAAAATTTAAAAAAAAATAAATTTTTCTTCTTCCTTTTTTCATTCTCTTTAATATAAATGACTTAGTTGGTTGAATAAATAGTAAAATATTCTCTTTCACAACTTAAAACTTAATTAGAAATAATTATAAACAAGCTTGAAATTAAAGGGGGTGGAAAAGATACCGAATTTTTAATTGGTCTTTCATTATTCACCTAAATAATATGACAAAATTGAATAAGGAATTTTCCATATTTTATTCTTGTTAGACTCTTTGTTAACAACTTTAGTAGTAATTACAAACTAATGAGCTTTTTAGCTTTTTACTCGTTTAATGTTGGCAAGAGTTCATGAATAGTTTGCATTAAACCCAAGATTTTCTTTATCTTATCCTATTTATCTAAACATTTGCTGTGAATATTAATAAGGTAATTAAAATTTTATCGAGATAAAACTTAAATAAATTTACAGAATTATCATCATTTTATAAATATATATATATAGAATTTTCAAATGCCATAAAAAAATAAACAATATTTTTATCTTAAATTATCTAAAAATTTCTGAAATGGCATACAAATGTAACTTACCAAGAGAAAAAGAATAGAAAGAGAATGTTTATTTTCTACTAAATCAATGTGTGTATGTATATATGTATATTTATATAATATTTTTCTTAAATTTTATTAGGAAAATCTTGTTTGGTAGACTTCCTAGTTATTATTTTGATTTTTTTTTCTTTGGTGAGTAGGAGCTAAACAATTATAAATATTCTTATTTATAAAAATTCTAAAAATAAGCAAGAAAGCGTAAGTTCAGCAAAGAAAATAAAATTCTGATTTTATTTTCTTTGCTGAAAATATTCTAACTAGAAAGAAAAACTTTCGTTGTATTTTAAATTGAAGAAAAAAATAAATAAACTAAAATTTAATTTTAGTAAAAATTTATATAAAATTTTATAACTATAAACAGTAGCTATTTTACTTCTTATTTTTGTTTGCTTAGTTTAAGAGAAAAAAAATATATATTAAAATTTAACTTAAAGAATTTTTTTTGTATAAATATCTTAAAATCTTTATACTTTAATATAAATAATTTCTTCTGAAAATATGAAATTATCTAAAAATTCTAGTTTTAAACGTTTAAAAAAAATGCCGAAAAATAACGTTTGATCTTTTCATTTCCATCTTGAAAAATATTACTTTGATGAAAAACATAAAAAAATAATAAAAACAAATTTACTAGAAAAAACTTAATACTTTTTGGTTTTATAAAAATCAAATTATTATTTAAAAATTGAAATTTTTAGAAAATTTTAAAGAAATTTATTACGTAAATTTTCTATAACTCAAAGAAGTGTCATACATTTTAGATTAATAAAATAGAAACAATTCTCTAAATAATCAAAAAGACATTTTCTTAAAATCGTATATAAAGTACTTAAAATACAGAAAGGATTATTATAAACAATACAAATATAATTCCATGAGAATGATTGATTAAGAAGAATCATCATCCTTATAAATATCCTAAATTATCATAATATACAGTACATAATAAATAAAGAGAAATAAAACAAAAAAAAAATACATTTCATCTTAAGAAATCTGACTTAATTAAGTTCCTCTCAGAAGGGAAACTCGGTTAAAGAATCTAAAACAAAAATACATAATATATAACCATTGAGGAACAAGTACCATTAATAGAGAAGCAAACCCAGTTTAATGTAACAAATCAAATTATTTAAGTTGATAGAGAATCTTTTGATCCCTGGCATAAAAATTAAATCAGTATTTTCCATAAACAAAGTGAGATAAAACATTATCCTGTTTTAATCCCTTCTTCTGTTCAGTAACATGATAATCACTATCTCGGCTGCTCGTTTCCCTAGTCAATGATCAACGACAACAGATTATACGCAAGGATACACCACAAATCCCTAGACGGAGTGTGAAATGGAAAGTACTGTANTTAATTCATAAGTACTAATAAATATATATATATATATTTAAGATTTTAATGAAGTTTTTTCTTTGTTTTTTTTCTTTTTATATTTTTTAATAGGTGAGAAGAGAGCTGCGATACAGCACGATTTAAACACTTCTCCATCAATATGTAGTAGATTCACTAGCAATATTTGGATTGTTATAAACACATTCCTGGTGTTAGGACTATATCAAAGGTCCTGACAATCCAAGTTATTGTGAAAACCTAGGTGCCTATACTTGGCTTTTATATTCCGTCCAAACAAGTGCCAAAAAATTGTAAGTGTAAACGTTAACAAACTTCTAATTAAAAATCTTTCAATTCAATTAAAAATTATACTATTTATCAAATTAACATTAGAATTAAATTAAATTAAAAATGTTCTCAATTAAATTCACAATATCGAGTGTTTAATGGTTTTAAATTTTATTACATTACCTCTTTAATTAATAAAATGACATTAAAACAAACAGGAAATGTTACTTGAAACATTTCCTGTTTGTTTCAAGTAACTTAACTCTTTAGAAATTATATCCGTAGATCTGTTTATATTTTGTAAATTATTATTTTTTTTTAAAATATTGCTTAGATTGATTACATCATAAATAAAATGTTATAAACTAAAATTATTGTGGCACTTAATGGTTGTTTATCGCCTCCCTGATGATATAGTTTCTCTTTCTATCGACTCGCTTCTGATAGTCAAGATCTGCAATTAATTAATTTCAAGTAGGTAATTATATATTCTCGGTCCCTGAAGACAATCATTACCTGATGATGATAACTTTGATGATGGTTCAAATTTTAAGATATGTTATCCCTTTCAAGTATGAAACTTCTATCAATAAATATCGTATACAACTCTTAATTCTGTATAACATTATAACTTATTGATAATAATAATAATAATAATAATAACAACAACAAATCTTTCTCTTTATTAAATTAAACTTATATCACTAATTAAGCTTCTTAATATTTATTTATTATATATAAATTATAAGCTTACTAATTATGATCCTATTCAATGAAAGAGTTTTGTAGATGATCGCCTTCTAATGGTAATTTTATGTAAAAATTCAGAATTAATTCTAAAAATCTTTCGTCTTTTAGATTAAAAATATATATTTTCTAGCATTAAAAAAACTAATTTAAAAATATTGACTCGTTTTAGGTGCATAAATCAATGAATTTTCAACGAATTTATCAAAATTCTTCACGTATAATAAATTTCGAAAAAAATATATATTTATTATTTTAAACTATTTATAAATGAATTTTATACGTTTGAATTATTTATTTCCTCTTCATAAATTTACACAGTAAATAATCTAACATATAAAAAAAACATAAACAAATAAAGAAAAGAGAGAAGAGATAGGAAGAATAANAACATTAGAATTAAATTAAATTAAAAATGTTCTCAATTAAATTCACAATATCGAGTGTTTAATGGTTTTAAATTTTATTACATTACCTCTTTAATTAATAAAATGACATTAAAACAAACAGGAAATGTTTCAAGTAACTTAACTCTTTAGAAATTATATCCGTAGATCTGTTTATATTTTGTAAATTATTTTTTTTTTTAAATATTGCTTAGATTGATTACATCATAAATAAAATGTTATAAACTAAAATTATTGTGGCACTTAATGGTTGTTTATCGCCTCCCTGATGATATAGTTTCTCTTTCTATCGACTCGCTTCTGATAGTCAAGATCTGCAATTAATTAATTTCAAGTAGGTAATTATATATTCTCGGTCCCTGAAGACAATCATTACCTGATGATGATAACTTTGATGATGGTTCAAATTTTAAGATATGTTATCCCTTTCAAGTATGAAACTTCTATCAATAAATATCGTATACAACTCTTAATTCTGTATAACATTATAACTTATTGATAATAATAATAATAATAATAATAACAACAACAAATCTTTCTCTTTATTAAATTAAACTTATATCACTAATTAAGCTTCTTAATATTTATTTATTATATATAAATTATAAGCTTACTAATTATGATCCTATTCAATGAAAGAGTTTTGTAGATGATCGCCTTCTAATGGTAATTTTATGTAAAAATTCAGAATTAATTCTAAAAATCTTTCGTCTTTTAGATTAAAAATATATATTTTCTAGCATTAAAAAAACTAATTTAAAAATATTGACTCGTTTTAGGTGCATAAATCAATGAATTTTCAACGAATTTATCAAAATTCTTCACGTATAATAAATTTCGAAAAAAATATATATTTATTATTTTAAACTATTTATAAATGAATTTTATACGTTTGAATTATTTATTTCCTCTTCATAAATTTACACAGTAAATAATCTAACATATAAAAAAAAACATAAACAAATAAAGAAAAGAGAGAAGAGATAGGAAGAATAATATAAAATTTCAACGATTATCTTACTTAAATCTTACAAAATTATCGAAGCAAAAATTAAGATAATTAAAATAATTAATTTTAATTCTAATTAACTGAAAATAATATTTAAAATTACAGATTACAGGTTATGAAGTCTTTGTAGAAGAAACAATTATGATAATGATTTATTGTAGCAAAACGGATAATGAGACTTTATAGAAAAACGACTGGTAAGTATTTTTTTTTAAAAGCATATAAACTCTTAAATTAAATTCTTAACATAGATTTTAATAAGAAAAAAAATTAATTTTAAATATTTTAAATGCCATTAGTTTACCACAGATTTGATATTTTAGAATCACTAAACAATTAAAAAAAATGTTTAAAAAAATAAATTTATTATATTCCACTGTGTAAAATTTATTTTGGATTGTATTATTAATGCAATAGAAACTTGTCCCCGGTGTTTATAAAACTATTTTCTTCAGCAATAACGGGGATGCTAACAATTAAAATTATGGTCACCTTATTTGTTGCGTTGACAACTAAGTATTCACGCATTTTCTACTTTATAATTAGGAATGCAATTAAGCTTCACTGATGACTCTTGCTAATGAATATTGCTAACGTTTTTCACTTTTACCCTCTGGGAAAACTTTAATGTGTTGCTTTACTTTAAGTTTACATTGAATTAATTTGTCATAAACGTTTTCTACTTGATCCATATTAATGTCACACATTTATATTATTTTTTTTTTAAATTGTTAGAGAAGAAACCTCAAACAGACTATGAAGTACTTTCACCTTTTACTAGTGAGATTTTACTAGTTTTACATTTGATAGAAGAGTGAAATTGAATAAAAAAAAAATGCAAAAATGGAAAATAAAGTCTACTTTTTCTATCAAAGTGTTTAGATGTGATAAGTTATCCATAGCAATTTTGTGCTTAATTCCAAAGAACAAGAGAAAGAACAAGAAGCAATCAAGTACAGGTATTCTCCATATAACACTGCACTTCTATAGCACGGATTCACTCTAACACGGTTTGAGAATTTGGTAAAACCCTCGTACATGAAATGTACAGTAATAAAAACTATTAAAAGCGAACTTTATTTAATTTGAAATTAGGGAAATCCCCTTACAACAGTTCAGTAAACATGATAAAGCTTTTAAGTGCAAAAGATATCTCATCTGACATTTTTCATTTGAGCACATATGTACTATCAGATTTTCCTGTATAATTTTCGTGAACTATTAGTACTAAAGTATGTAAATTTTCTTTTCCCGCCTTCTGTCTACATGTGGTACTTCTCAAAACTTGTTTCAGTGTTGCCAGATTGCAACACTTTTGCTTTTGATGTTGCCAAACGTTTTTCCCTTATTCCATATTTGCTTTATTCTTAAGTGCTTAGCACCATATAAGGAAATTTATAAAGATCTTTTAACTAAAAGCAAGCAATCTAAAGTAACATATTTTTTGCAAAAGGTAGAGCATGGATCTGATGATAATGCAGAAAAATGCTCAGGGGATAAGGATATCTTGCCAAAAAGAAAATGCCCTCGGTTAATAGTGCTTAGTTATGACGAAAAAAACATTTGTTTAATTTATATTAATATGTATCATTTCTTAAGAAAATTTTAATAAAGATATTTATCTTAATTATGAAAATATAATTACATGTTTTTTAATTTTTGGAACCTAACCCCCCCCTTTCGTACTAGTTCTTTGTTTCATATAACACAGATTTGCATAACATGGCAATTTTTTTGGAACATAACTCCTGTGTTATATGGGGGGTTACCTGTATTAAAAAAATGCTTTCAAATATTAAATAATATTTGAAAGCATTTTTAATACAGGTATATGGTCAAATATTATTATTGTTAAGGGAAAATTTATTGTTATTATTGTATAACTTAATACGATATCTATTAATACCATGGATATAAACATTACAGAATAATATGAAATTTTAAGTACAGGTAACCCCCGTATAACATGGTAGTTACATTCCAAAAAATTGCCGTGTTATGCGAATCCGTGTTATACGAAACAANATTTATTTTTTTTTTACTTTTTTAATCAGGTCCTGACGACATTTCAAATGTTCTTTTAACGGAGGTAATGGTTTTTGAAAAATATTTTCCAATCTTGTATTCGTTATTCTTTCCACGTCAAAAATAAAGAAGGAAAAAAAATCAACACAATTTTCACTCTTTTGTGATTTCGCTTCAAATCATTTACTGAATAAGAAAATCAATATACCAAACCACGGCAAAAATCCAAAGTTATCTACTTTCTTCAGAAACAATTTCAAATGGAGAATATATTAGCATGGATTTTTTTTATATATATATTTCTTCTATGTTTCCAACTGTTTATTGAATAAATGTATAATTTAGTACTGTTTTAGTATATACAAAGTCTTTTTTTAAAGTAATTTATTTATAATATACATAAATTGTTTTTTAATTATTCGTGTTTACTGATTTTTTAAATTTTATTTGTGAGAATTTTCTGAAGTTATCTTCTTCTTGTCTTTTGTTTGAAGTTCGTATACTTTACTCTTATTGTAGTTTTGTGTCTTACGAATAATTTCCCATGTGTTTATATTAAATGTTGTTTGAGTTAGAGCTTTATATTTTACTTATTTCGATCAAATTTAAGTTGTATGGAATATTTTCTTTTATATAAATGTCAATATTATATATTATTCTCACTTTCTTGAAGCTGTTTTACAGAGTATTTTCAATATTCAGTTCTGTTTATTGCTATTATTGTTTTACTATAATGTATACTACAGTATCAATATGCATTNTCTATCACTCTTAATGATAGTATAACACTTTGTGACAAATCGTTCTCACCGATCCGTTCGTCAAAGATATTTTGAATGATTATTTCTTTCCATGTAGCTGTAAACATTATACTTTTTTGCTTATCTTCCTCTTCTTTTTTAATGTTTGAAATGCTTATTTTATGTAAATTATCACTTTTAATATCGAACACATTCTAAACGATTTCTCTCTATATACATATATATATATAATACTTCTGTAAATCTTTTAAAGATAAATGTATAAAATTTATTCTATCTATAACATTACTAAGTAAAATTTATCTAGATCGCATATCAAATATATGATATCTGATTTTATGTTAAGTTCGAAGAAAGTCATATAAGTTGGTAGAGATCTCGAAATTTAAAATATTGTTATGAGTTTAAACTATAGACAAATTTTTGAATCTAGAACTTAGAATAAATAAATAAAATTTTTATTGATTATAATTGTATATACATATACAGGTATATATACAGTTTATATTTAAATTTAAATTTGATATCTTCGACTTAAACGCATAATTAAAGTTAAAATTTTGATGAATTATTATAGCTAAGAATAAATTATTAGCTATTTGATGACACTATATCATGACGAATTATCAAATGTCAACGAAGAAAAATGATGTATTAATGTCAAAAACTTCTTAGTTCGTCTTCAATAAACACTATTAAGTGCATTGACACGATTCTAGGAAAATCTTCAACAGCCCTTTTGGCGCCGAACTAGTCAAGACCCAGTCTTCATTGATCGTTTTGTGAGTGTTCAGTTTGAGAATATGACCTAAAGTTTGCTTGATATACTGGCAAACATCACTGAGTTTATATAATACTAAATATATATTATATTATTAATAAAAATTTTTAACTTTAATAATAAATTTTAATTATATTTTCCTCGACGTATTAATATCAATACGCATTCTTTTCCTCCTCGTGTTTTAATTATTTAATAAATATATTAATTAGTATTTAATTTTAATTTATTTAATAAACTCGGAATAATTAAAAAATATATATATAGTCTATAAAATTTATTAATTAGTGCTAATTTTATAAGTTGAAAAGTATTATCATNATTTATTTTTTTTTTACTTTTTTAATCAGGTCCTGACGACATTTCAAATGTTCTTTTAACGGAGGTAATGGTTTTTGAAAAATATTTTCCAATCTTGTATTCGTTATTCTTTCCACGTCAAAAATAAAGAAGGAAAAAAAATCAACACAATTTTCACTCTTTTGTGATTTCGCTTCAAATCATTTACTGAATAAGAAAATCAATATACCAAACCACGGCAAAAATCCAAAGTTATCTACTTTCTTCAGAAACAATTTCAAATGGAGAATATATTAGCATGGATTTTTTTTATATATATATTTCTTCTATGTTTCCAACTGTTTATTGAATAAATGTATAATTTAGTACTGTTTTAGTATATACAAAGTCTTTTTTTAAAGTAATTTATTTATAATATACATAAATTGTTTTTTAATTATTCGTGTTTACTGATTTTTTAAATTTTATTTGTGAGAATTTTCTGAAGTTATCTTCTTCTTGTCTTTTGTTTGAAGTTCGTATACTTTACTCTTATTGTAGTTTTGTGTCTTACGAATAATTTCCCATGTGTTTATATTAAATGTTGTTTGAGTTAGAGCTTTATATTTTACTTATTTCGATCAAATGTAAGTTGTATGGAATATTTTCTTTTATATAAATGTCAATATTATATATTATTCTCACTTTCTTGAAGCTGTTTTACAGAGTATTTTCAATATTCAGTTCTGTTTATTGCTATTATTGTTTTACTATAATGTATACTACAGTATCAATATGCATTATAATATATATTGTATATATATTATAGTGTACAATTGTAATTTTATATTATTATTCTGAGTAATTGTAAGAAAATAAAATAATATTGAGATATAATATAGAAAACGTTTACAAAGAAAGATTCCATAAACATAAAATCCTTTAATCTATCAACCGAGATGAATATTGAAATTGATTGGTTAAAGATATGTTTATCTTAACGACGATTGGATGTGAAATAAACTTTGTTAACAATAATTGGAATTAATTATGTTAATATATAGATAAATTTTAAGAATTTTAAAGAAAATTTTACATATTAGAAACAACTATGATGAATGCCTTAGTTGACAAAGTTCATTCACCTCTTTCAGTTTCCTAGTTATTTCGTTTGTGTTTGAAATACCCAAACATTATATAGGCCTATATATTATTTTTAGAGGCTTTCTATCGAATTCTATAAATTAATTTTAAATATTTCCTTTTAATTAATTAATTAACCCTTTTTTATAGTAAAGTTTTTAGCGTAGTTGTATCTATAATAAATTTGTATCAGTGTATTATGTATTGTTATTAATTACGTATGGTTATTTATGTAGATTTATCATCTATATATATCAACATACATATTAATTAGACTCGTAAATCAAGATAATTTAAGTATATTGACTCTACATTATGTAGAATTTTTGCTTTATAATTAATATTTATTTCTGCATTACTATCAATTTTCTTATACAAATATAAAATTTGTAAATTTACTGAATTATTTATTACAAATTAATAGAATTATTTTCTTACTAAATAATTTACAAATCTAAATTTGATACGAGTAAATAAACCGAATTTTTTTTTCTTCTCCCATTTACAAGATGCTTATATTTTATTTATAATTTTCTTTAAAATTAATATATTAATAAACTAAATTATAAACTATTTTAATTATTAAGTATGTTTATGAAAGGCATCGTTTATAATTCAAACTTTTATAGTTTATTTTAGTTAAAATATCTCATCAAATTTCTGGCAATGTTCTCTACAGTAATTTATCTTTAAAGATAAATGTATAAAATTTATTCTATCTATAACATTACTAAGTAAAATTTATCTAGATCGCATATCAAATATATGATATCTGATTTTATGTTAAGTTCGAAGAAAGTCATATAAGTTGGTAGAGATCTCGAAATTTAAAATATTGTTATGAGTTTAAACTATAGACAAATTTTTGAATCTAGAACTTAGAATAAATAAATAAAATTTTTATTGATTATAATTGTATATACATATACAGGTATATATACAGTTTATATTTAAATTTAAATTCGATATCTTCGACTTAAACGCATAATTAAAGTTAAAATTTTGATGAATTATTATAGCTAAGAATAAATTATTAGCTATTTGATGACACTATATCATGACGAATTATCAAATGTCAACGAAGAAAAATGATGTATTAATGTCAAAAACTTCTTAGTTCGTCTTCAATAAACACTATTAAGTGCATTGACACGATTCTAGGAAAATCTTCAACAGCCCTTTTGGCGCCGAACTAGTCAAGACCCAGTCTTCATTGATCGTTTTGTGAGTGTTCAGTTTGAGAATATGACCTAAAGTTTGCTTGATATACTGGCAAACATCACTGAGTTTATATAATACTAAATATATATTATATTATTAATAAAAATTTTTAACTTTAATAATAAATTTTAATTATATTTTCCTCGACGTATTAATATCAATACGCATTCTTTTCCTCCTCGTGTTTTAATTATTTAATAAATATATTAATTAGTATTTAATTTTAATTTATTTAATAAACTCGGAATAATTAAAAAATATATATATAGTCTATAAAATTTATTAATTAGTGCTAATTTTATAAGTTGAAAAGTATTATCATTTTCTAGATTTTTTTTTGAAAACTTAAAAGTTTAACTTTTTAGTAAAAAATTTTTTAAATTTTTTGCTGGGGGAAGGAGAAAAAGTTGTAAAAAGTTGTAGATATTGAATAAATCCAATATCTATAACTGTCTTTTTCAATTTTCTTCAATGCCCAATCTACATTAATCCCATTACAGGTCATCATACATCTTCATTCAGTATTTTTTTCTTACTTACTCTAAGTTCGTACTTACAAAATCCTATGATGTACACATTCCTGGAAGGCATTTTTATCAAATAACTTATCCATCTAAGTCTAGATTTTTATCTAGTAAGCAGATTAGGAACCGTTATATAAATCATAAAATCATAAAACTTACATAATTTCATAAAGTAAATATATTAAAAAAAAATTAATTATTATAATATATTTTCATACATTATCACTAATTCTTTAATATTGTATTTTACAGCTATTCTACTGTCTTTGTATAGCGTTACGGACAGAAACAAGAAAAAGAACATTCCAATTTAATATACTCATGAGCATGAAAGAAAAAAAAAATTCATTCAATAGGAAAAAAACAGTGATGTGAAAAACCAGAACTGAAATAATAAAAAACATTGGATCTCATGTATTTAGAATCGTTAATATCTTATCAAGAATTCATCAAGATTTCTGCTACTTTACAGGATAACTATGAGTAACTTATTCAAGTTACATATTTGTTTAAAAAAAATTACTTAAGGAAAATCAAGAAAAATCACAACTGTATCCAATAGTAAATCATAATTATAAATAATAATAATAATAATAACACTGAAGAGAACTTATCTTCAGTACTTGTGATGTGTTGTGTGCAAAATATCAATAGAAAATTACATCATCAAATGTGTAAAAAGCATCTAAGACTATAGACTGTTAACAATAATTGGAATTAATTATGTTAATATATAGATAAATTTTAAGAATTTTAAAGAAAATTTTACATATTAGAAACAACTATGATGAATGCCTTAGTTGACAAAGTTCATTCACCTCTTTCAGTTTCCTAGTTATTTCGTTTGTGTTTGAAATACCCAAACATTATATAGGCCTATATATTATTTTTAGAGGCTTTCTATCGAATTCTATAAATTAATTTTAAATATTTCCTTTTAATTAATTAATTAACCCTTTTTTATAGTAAAGTTTTTAGCGTAGTTGTATCTATAATAAATTTGTATCAGTGTATTATGTATTGTTATTAATTACGTATGGTTATTTATGTAGATTTATCATCTATATATATCAACATACATATTAATTAGACTCGTAAATCAAGATAATTTAAGTATATTGACTCTACATTATGTAGAATTTTTGCTTTNGAAAAAAAACTGTAATAAATTTGTCGATACTTATACATATTGTTGAACATTATTATACTGAAATTTAAAAAAAAAAGAAAAAAAAGGAAATTAATTTAATTAATCGCGATTTAAGAAAAATAAAGTACATGTTCTAATGAAAATCTCTTGTTTAAATTAATCAAAGTTAAAATTAAAAAAAAAATTTTTAAACCACTAAAATATAGAAAATTTTGGCTTTAAGTTTCTATAATTAATCAGTTATGAATAATGTTAAATTTAGTATTATTATTCTCTCGTTTCATTTAATATAGTAAACTATAAATTGTTGTGAAATTCAATTAATTATTACGATAGGCGATTCACATAAATTCGAAATTTATGTAGAAGCTCAAGTGATTTAAATTCGGTTTATTAACCCGGTTAAACGTGACTATTTCTATAGGAAATCAAACGAATTTTCTTTTTAAAATCAACTTTTTTATATATACTTTACTTTTGATCAATTAAAGTAAAAATTTTTTAGTAAAAAATATTTTTATGAATAAAATAAAATAAAAAAAAAATAATAATTTCTTTCGGTACCATTTCTGGTTTCTTTTACAAGTAACATTGAACATTTCATCGGAAAAAGTGTTCAGAAAGCATCTATCACTCTTAATGATAGTATAACACTTTGTGACAAATCGTTCTCACCGATCCGTTCGTCAAAGATATTTTGAATGATTATTTCTTTCCATGTAGCTGTAAACATTATACTTTTTTGCTTATCTTCCTCTTCTTTTTTAATGTTTGAAATGCTTATTTTATGTAAATTATCACTTTTAATATCGAACACATTCTAAACGATTTCTCTCTATATACATATATATATATAATACTTCTGTAAATCTACTTGGATTTGATTATTTTTTATTCACCGTTTCATTAAGTTTTCATGCGAATTTTTTATGTCATTTCTTTCACATTTATAAATCGTTATTCAATATTCTTCGGGGAATATAGATTTACTGATTTTCAGCTTCAAAATAACTGAAAATCTGTTTCTGTTTCTTCTGTTGTAGAAAGAGGAAGTAGAAAACAAAATTAACTTAGTTTCTATTAAGTAGATAACTTATTTACATTCAAAAAAATCGCTTAAATTTGGCAAAATAAGTAAAAATTTTAAAGTATTTTTTACTTGCAATCATCGTTTTTGTGTGGCTTCTTGCGTAAAGAGTAGAAAGATTTATAACATTTCTTAGCTTAAAAAAAACAATAATATTAAATAAAAAAATGCGATGGAAAGTAGTATAAGAACATCATTTATCATAAACATAACCAACGACTAAACACCTGTTCTTAATGCTTAATGCTAGGAGAGCATCTGGTAAAATTATGAAAACTATTAAGATTATGGCTATGGAAGTAATCCAAATTTCGTTATATACGAGAAGTTCCAGCTGACAATGACACCTGAATTTATTTATTTTGTATAACTATGTAGAGACACGAAGAGAAAAATAACTCACCAAACTTTTCTGCAGGACTACTGTAAAATTATTGACAGGGTTTTTAGTAGAATTCGTCGAAACTGTTGGCAAGAAGCCAGTAAACTAACCAAGTCTTTCGTTTCGTTATTGAGTCGTCCCTAGTTTATGCTATATCCTTCTAATGGATACCATGAATCAGCACCCAGCGACATTTTCACATTCCACTCTGTCGACTTTTGCTATGACATTGTGACAAATGTAACTACTTTTCCTTCCTATCCTCTTAATGTTCTCAAACTGAGTTAAAGACGAAGATGCTGAAGAGTATATTCCTAATACGACGTCGTTAGCCACTTTATAATTAACTACACGCATTAATTTTACTAGTTTAGGTGTGTTAAAGTGATACAAACAACACTATATCTGGTCTTAAGTAAGTGGTAAAGCTATCTTTTGCACTTAGCATAACTAAGTGATGGAAGAGGTAGATGAAAGACCAAATACTCAACTAAGTAGAAACAAGTTTTCAATGAAAAAAATAAAAAAATAAAAAAGTGAAAGGGAGAGAAGCATTAGCAGAAGTTATTGACGGTATCGATCAAGTCTCTCTGCATTGATCATTCTGCTCTAGAGATATCTAAACTTAGAGAAGAAGGGACACAAAACTCCAGAATCGCTTTTGCCTACAGCGAGGTAATTACTGAAGCTCTTGCTTCCTTTAACGTGATGACATACTTTTTGAACTAATGTAGTCTATAATTTACAACAAAAAAAATTAAAAGAAAAAATAAATATATATCTTACTACAGAATAAATTTGTTTAGTTAATACTGTATTGCTTTACCTCGATAATAAAACTATTTACTTCCAGCTATAAGAAGAGTTAAATGTTAAAATATAGGTTTTTTTTTTTTAAAGGTCAATCACGTATATACATAAATTTTAACTATGAATACCACTGGCTTTTTACTTAAAGATCAAAAAGATAAATTATATAATTTATCTTTAAAGAGGAGGACAAAAAAAAACATGATAAATTCCTTTAAAAAGTTAGCTTTAGTAAAATAAAATTTAAAAAAAGATGCTCGAGATGAAAATTCGAAAATAAAATTTATAAAAAGAAAAGTTGTTTAAGATCTTGAATATGTTTTAAATTTGTATTAATTTTTATAAGAAAACTTTTAAAATAAATTTAAAAATCGTAAAGATTTTTAAATTAAATTGACATTAAAAAATGTTTAAGATCTTGAGTATCTTTTCAACTTCTAATTTTAAGAAAGATGCTGAAGATCAAGAGGCTTTATATATCAAAATCTTTAGTATNTTAAAAAAAGATGCTCGAGATGAAAATTCGAAAATAAAATTTATAAAAAGAAAAGTTGTTTAAGATCTTGAATATGTTTTAAATTTGTATTTAAAATAAATTTTTATACAATCTTAAAATTAACTTTATTTATTTTTTTTGTGCATAAGTCTGTCAGTCTTTTGATCGATTTTAAACATAATTAATTAGTTAATTTCTTTTTTAGTACAGGTGCATATTAGACTACACTTTTCTAGGCAAATAAATAAATATAAAGACAGACGTGAAGATAAAGTAAACAAGTTAATGATGAACAAGATCTGAAAATGTATGAAATTTTCAGTACCTATATTAAATAAGTCAGCTGCTAGTGCTGATCATCAGATAATTTCTGCACATTAAAAGCATTCTACCAACATTGTTACTGAAATTTTCCAGCATTCTTTATTTGTCTTTATCCCTTCAACTTCTAATTTTAAGAAAGATGCTGAAGATCAAGAGGCTTTATATATCAAAATCTTTAGTATATAAGAAAAAAAAGTAGTAAAAATATAAGTGAAAAAGAGATATTTATGGAAATATATACCTTTAAACAATTCAATACTTTCAGATTTCAACAGATCTGTTGACAAATATGTAAAAGTGAAGAGTGGAAACATCCCAATAAGAATGATACATTTGAAAATATTTAAAATGGTATAAAATATTTATAGATATTCTGCGATGAATAAACCATTTTCATATCCTGTGAATTATTCTTAAGCTGGATTTTTGTCCATATTTTTCACTAAACACTTTATCGATTTGACAAAAACATCATTTTACATTAATATACACTCTCTCTTTTTTTTTCACTGAATCTAAGAAAGATGTGAAAGGTAAACGTATGTATTTCATTGATTTGTATAGGGAAAAAGTCCTACAGCTTACAGTTAAAACAGTATTTTATCTCCTCTTCGACAATACAAAATGATACTTCTTGAAATCTTTTTAATATACAAAAATACAAAATTAAAAGTATTAATGATAGTATAACACTTTGTGACAAATCGTTCTCACCGATCCGTTCGTCAAAGATATTTTGAATGATTATTTCTTTCCATGTAGCTGTAAACATTATACTTTTTTGCTTATCTTCCTCTTCTTTTTTAATGTTTGAAATGCTTATTTTATGTAAATTATCACTTTTAATATCGAACACATTCTAAACGATTTCTCTCTATATACATATATATATATAATACTTCTGTAAATCTACTTGGATTTGATTATTTTTTATTCACCGTTTCATTAAGTTTTCATGCGAATTTTTTATGTCATTTCTTTCACATTTATAAATCGTTATTCAATATTCTTCGGGGAATATAGATTTACTGATTTTCAGCTTCAAAATAACTGAAAATCTGTTTCTGTTTCTTCTGTTGTAGAAAGAGGAAGTAGAAAACAAAATTAACTTAGTTTCTATTAAGTAGATAACTTATTTACATTCAAAAAAATCGCTTAAATTTGGCAAAATAAGTAAAAATTTTAAAGTATTTTTTACTTGCAATCATCGTTTTTGTGTGGCTTCTTGCGTAAAGAGTAGAAAGATTTATAACATTTCTTAGCTTAAAAAAAACAATAATATTAAATAAAAAAATGCGATGGAAAGTAGTATAAGAACATCATTTATCATAAACATAACCAACGACTAAACACCTGTTCTTAATGCTTAATGCTAGGAGAGCATCTGGTAAAATTATGAAAACTATTAAGATTATGGCTATGGAAGTAATCCAAATTTCGTTAT